TATTTTATTTGAGCTTTCAACTTTTTAATTTCTATCATACTCTTTGAAACGATTAACATATCATCTACATATAGCAACAAGTAGACGAAGCTTCAATCCTGCAACTTTTCGAGATAAATATAATGATCATAGTCACTTTTCAAATATCCTACACCTTTTATGAAACCATTGAATTTTAAATACCACAACCACAGTGACTACTTTAAACCATAAAGCAACTTTTGTAGCTTACAGACCAAGTCTTCTTTTCCTTTCGCCTTATATTCATCAGGTTGAATCATATAAATCTCCACATTCAAATCACTATGTTGAAAGGTTGTTTTAATATCTAACTACACTAACTCAAAGTCAAATTGTGCAACAAAAGCTAACAAGATATGCATAGAGTAATGCTTCACAACCGGTGAAAATATCTAATTATAATCAAAACCTTTCCTTTTGAGCATTAACCCTTCGCTACTAGTCTTTCTTTGTATCTTATCTTGACTCATTAGGAACTTCCTTATTTGCAAATACCCATTTATAGCCTATTGCTTTCTTCCCTTCAGGTAGACAAACCAAAATCCATGTTGTGTTCTTTAAAAGAGAGTTATCTCTTCATACATGCCAACCTTCCTTTTCTTATTTTCAGAACTTGCACTCGCTTCACAAAAATTTATAGGAATTTTTTAATTCACAATATGAAATGCAAAGCAACACAATATGTGTACCTTGCAGGTTTCCAAATGATTCTTTTTTCCTCTCCATGTTGCAATAGAATAAGATGGATCAACAACCTCTTCATCATCTGTTTGTACATCTTAATTCTCATCACTAGATGTTGACGCTTTATTATCATTTAGATACTCTCTGTCTTGAACTGATTATTGAGAATTCAAATTTTCCTGTTGTGGGAAAATCATATTCTGTCTTTCACACTCCACCTGTTGTTGATCTCTACCATTTGACTCAACATCAACTTCTTCGTTCTTTTCTTTCAACATACTCATCTTATTAACTAGGGCACCACAATCTATGACTTTTCATACCTATAGTGAAACCAACAAATATAGCCTTCTTGGCTCTTGCATCAAGTTTAAATTTAGTAACATGAAATATGCAATACAACCAAAAGTACATAAATTATCATAATCAAAAGTAGGTTTACGATCCAAACCTCAATTGGTGTCTTTCCATTTATTGTTATGGATGGCAATCGACCGACAATATGACTTGTATAAGTGATTGCTTCTGCCAAAAATGACTTATCCAAACCTGCTTGTAGTAGCATACACCTCAGTTTTTCCAACATAAATTTATTTAATCTTTCAACAACCACATTTTGTTGTGGGGTTGTTGGAAAGTAAAATGTCTCAAAATTCTTTCTTTTCTGCATACTTCATGGAAAGGATCAAAGTATATTCACCACAATTATCAGTTCTCAGAATTTGATCTTCCTTCCAGTTTGGTTCTATATCATATTCTTCCATGTTAAGAAAACACTCAAGTCTCGTTTTTATGTTTCATTGTATAAACACAAGACCTTCTTGAATAATCATCACTAAAGCTTACAAAATAATGTTTACCACCCTTTGAAGCTTTCTTTGTTAAACCCCAAACATCTGAGTGAACGTAGTGAATGATACGCTTGGTTTGGTGTGTTGTTGTACCAAACTTCACTCTTATCTGCTTGCCAAAAACACATTGCTCACAGAAGTCTGCCGTTTTTGACACCCTCCAACAACCCTTATTTTGCCAATCCTTGTAAAGCATTTTATACGACATGACCAAGCCTTAAATTCCATAACTCTGAGGCATCAAAATAATCAACTTTATCATAATTGGAAACTTCTGAAAGCATTTTTGCAACACCTATAATATTGTATCCTTGTAGCACAAACAAATGACGCTCTCGCAACCCCTTCATCTCAACTAACACCTCTCTTTTTATTTTCATAAAACCATTCGATAAAGGGTAGTGTTAGCCATTAGCCTCTTATGCTCCCAAACAAAGCAAATTCTTCTTCAATTTAGGAACATACCTACATTTTTAAACTCTCTAATCACCCTGTCATGATGCTTGAACTTTACAGTCAAATAATCCTTTTCCTCTGTTGTAATCGATTCATTGCCAACCAAGACTACACCTGGACTCTTCAAATCCAAACTAGAAAAACAATCCTTATTTGGACACATGTGTCTAGAAGCCGCCGTATTCATTAACCATAGTTTATAGAAAGTATTTGATGTTGCTGGTAATATACATTTTTTCACAAAATCATCTTCTCTATATGTAACTTTAGCCTGAGTGCCTTTATTCTTTTTTTCCAGCTTTGGACAATCTTTTTGCCAATGGCAAATTTCATGACAAAAAGACACTCATTTCTTCCCAAACTTTGTCTTGATTTAGAGTTTCCTCTAATACGAGAAGGAAACTTTATAATATTACATTGACTTTTTCCTATCAAATTGACTACCCTTCTTTATACTTGAAATAGAACGGTCTCTTTTTCTTATAAAGATGAATCTCAACACTTTTAGTCATGTATATGTCTTCCAACTTCTGCCATAACTTTTCTGTTGATGTTTCTCGCATCACATTGAACTTCTGTTGCTTAGCGATACAAAGACGGATCGTCAACTAGGCCATCTTTTTTATCCTATTCCAATCTACAATAGACATCTCTCCTACTCCTGGTTTTTCTTCCAAAGCCATATCCAAAAATCTTGCAGAGCCAACACATCTTTTACTTCACACTACCACATTCCAAAGTTGTTTGTCCCATTGAATTTTTCAACTTCAAGCTTTGCATTCTGAATGACTGTTTTTTCCATATGAGATTCTGCTTCACCGAATGGGTTAATCTCATTCTCCTTATCTTCTGCCATCTATCAACCTGACTCTTATACCAATTGTTGTAAAACAGAGTTTACGGAAGAAATATGACCTCCGAAAAGCAGAGAACAAATGATAATCAATCTGGTTATCGCACAGATTCACACAACAACACATTAACTGGTGCTGGGATACAAATCATAAAGCAAAAACAGAAGGCATACAAAGATTTACTTGGTTCGGCCTTAGCCTACATCCACAGAGCAGTAGGGACAAATTTCACTATCAAAGATGGTGCTTAGAAAGGTTCACACTCTTACAGAACGTCTACCCTCACACCATATTGAACAATCTTCACTCTTTTTTTTTTCATCTTTTTAACTATAGAGCAGTTATTAATACTTATGTCCTATATATTAGCAATCATTAAACTGCTATTAAATAATAATAGCTAAATTATTAATAATAATAATAATACAACACTCTCTACCCTGGCATCCCACTCCCTTCCCCCGACCATAGTAACTCACATCGAATCTGCTATAGTTGTGCACCTTTACAAACTGCTATTAGAAGCATGTCATGCCTTCATAAATGTCTAAAGTCATAATGTCCAATATCAATTGCTCCTTGCCTCCTCCCACATCCTCCTCAACCTACCCCTCCTCCTCGCCCAACCGGCCATAATACCCTCGACCCTTTTCACCGGTGCCGAAATCCCTTATTTTTAATCTATTTTTAAAATGTGAGCAAGTAATTTAAACTATTTTTAAGCAGACTATGTAGTTTTGCTAGGTTCTATATACAATTTAGCATAACTATTTTCAATCAAAACCATGTAGTTTTTTCCGCTATATAATGAATTTATTTGGTAGAATCTCTCTACTATTGTTGTCTCGAGATCAGTGGACTTAAATTTTGCAAAGTAGCCGTTAAGATTAATAGTCATGAAAACACTTGCTAAAGCGAATACATACATACTGACGTTCGATCGACAAATTAACACAAATATTCCACTCAAATTCAGTCTTCCCACTCAAAAAAAAAATATAGTTTCAATCTCAACTTGCATTTGACCTTAGCGATAATGAGAGGTTCTTGTTTGAAAACAAATAAAAAAAACTTAAAACCCATGAGATTCTTTGATAATCTACTTACTACTAGACAAAGAAGTTCGATTAGGCTTTGCTATGAGGTTGTCTTTAGTTCTACTCCAACATTTTAAAAGAAAGTAAAGTTTTGTTCTATGTTCCCCTTTTACTCTCCCCCAACTATTATTAGCCACTAAAGACAATCGGGAGATGTGGAATCACTTCAAGTAGTGTTTGTCTTTTGGCCCTAAAGGGTTTTTTCAGCCATGGCATCTTACTCTAAAGTTGAAAGACTTCGTAAAAGGTTCTTTTAGAGATTAAAAAAGGAAGGTAATTTGAACCATGACCTAAAATGTATTAGTGACCACGTAGGGAATTGAACGAGGCTAATTGATGGTGAATTCATGGAACTTTAAACCATGGACTGTGACAAATTGCCTGGAATATAGCCAATAGCACGCTGCTGCTTTGATGGATTTCCAAGATGAGAAGCTAAAGAAACTAAGTTAAGTTGGTCTGAAGTTTTCTGGAAGACGAGAGGAAAATGGGATTTAAATTCATGACCCCAATGCACCATCATCATCTAGGTGATGAAATCAAATATCACCAAGATAATTCATTCGTCTCACAAATGGTTAGGTTCATCTTTAATTGGTCCATCCTAACCAGCACTTTTGGTTTGAATTACATATAGGTATGAGTTGACTGTGATTTGCTTTCTGAGTCAAACCACCCGTACCAACCTTATCCGATGGTCTTGTGAGAGCAAAAACAATTTTTCATAATGATTGATCATCCCAAAATCTAAACAATCTTGGAACAATGATATGCATGGGCGAAACCTGATTATTTGCTTATATACATTCACCATGTCTGAGACAGATTAATTAGGAGGATCTTGCTCGTGGTTTTTCAAATCATCCTTGTGCAAATGAATGATCACAAACAAAGTGAAACTATGCAGGCCAGGCTGGGTTCACAGCCACAAATTTTGAGAGCTACGGTGACTGATTATGGAACTGTCATACTTGCCTGCTTCTGGTAGGTTGGAAACTAGGACGGATGTGCTTGATTTGCATAATACCATAAAAGTTGCATACAGATATTACATTTATATGGATTTGAAAGAGGTACAGCACTAGCACGTAAGCTAAGAATGTGAATATAAACCATGTATGGCACTGTATAGTAAAAGGGAAGGCAAACCTGGCCAAACCCTAATCTATTTCTGTATTCATAGATGAATTTCTATCTCCTACATGAGATTATGGATAGGGATACAATTAAGAGACAGAAAAATGAAGAATTTATGAACCAAATATCTCCCTCCGTCTCTTCTATAGTGCCTGTAAGAAAAGCGATCGATGACTAGTACTACTTACAGCTTCAATTAATTACATCAAAATAGCGTAACGCATGCTGTCGTTGACCATAAGATGATTGACCTCGGACATTCGTGCAAGCTCTCCAGAGACCCAGACTCCATCAGCAGCACCACTTATATGAGGGTGGGATGATAGGCATGATAGAAGTAGGAGCGGAGCTCTTACGATGCTGTATATGACAGAAAGACCATTCGAGAACCCTTGCCTTGTATGTTGATCAACTATATTCGGAAACTCGGCTCCATTTCCTTCTCCAAACATGCTTTCATCAGCCACTTTAGGACTCTTCCTCTTGTTCTGGATGTTTAGCCTCATCGCCAATATACGCCTCATCCTCTGGACCAGAGATATGGTTAAGTTCTCTTCTAAAGAAAGGCAAGTATACACTAATCAATGGCTTAGAGCTGTGTGGGAATGAAGTGAAGAAAGTTGGTATATAAGGAAGGACCTTTCATGTACATGGCCTAGCTAGGGTAGTGGCATTTCATGATGGCTTTGTTAGTGCTAGTACTTGTCACAACAATGTTTTTGGAAGTGCTCTTTAGAGGACTCTCACTTCAGTCTTTTTCTTCTTTATTTCTAATTTCTATTTTATTTTATTTGGTGGGGGGTCTTTGTATAAAGCTAATCCTGCCGCCTGTAAGCGTTTTCTATACATGATTTCATTTTCATATGGTTTAAATTAAAAAAAAAAAAAAAAAACAGACCTAAAATATGATATTTGCCATTACACAGTTTAATGCCATCATTGTCATTGATTTATTGATTAGACAATAACAGTATTATACGTTTTGTTTGCTTTTTTCTAATTTATAACTAGTTTTTGATTTAGTGATCGATAATTAGTTGGGGAATCAATTCTGATATAGTATCACATGATGAATTGCTGCACTTTCTCCTTCTATTGATTCTTGTTTGCAATAAAGCAATGCACTTGACAAGGAATGAAAATATTCCCATCCTTTTGTGGTTTAATTCGTTTGCTTATATTATATATGTTGTTCCATATCTTGCCATTGATACTGTCTTATGAAAGTGAAACGGTTGATTTTGTAGGACAGCATGTAAATACATGATATTGATTAAGCTAACTTTTCACAAATAAATTAAGATGATACAGACATACCCCAAGATATATAAACCTACATGTATATGGTCGTTTGAAGATCATATACTCTTCAGACATCTTGATGATTAAGCTTGAGCAATTTGCAGCATGGAGGGGCTCTGATTAATGATGATTTGGTGTCGGTAGTGCTAATTAATGATCACTCATGAACCCCATTCAAGCTTATCCTTGATTGATGCTTTCAAAATGGCATTCAAACAAGCCAACACATTCTTCACATGTGAATTATAAAATAAAAGTGCGACAGAGGATCTTCCATTGCACTCACCTGGAAGATGCATCATTACCTTATCTCTACATGCATTAATCTAGAAATTAATCTTGCTTGAGGAAAGAGGGTTTTAGTGATGAAAGTGGGATTAGACTAAGACTCTAGAGACAATGTCAACACCCACACAAGTCAAGAAGTCCAAGGCATGGGCCACGATGTTGTAGAAATGGGAGCCAAACAAGTATCAACTACCCATTAATACTATTCATGATTGGGATCGGATATACTCAGACCATAAGTTTTGTTTTCAGTACGTAATTGCGTCCTCCACTAATATTTTTAGTAGCCCATCCAACTCCATTACTGGATACCATTATCATATCAACCCCTTTCTGAAGGTCCCTGTTGCTATTAGCTGTATTTGGCCAATATTATATATACAAGTGCCAAGTAGGTATAAGATTACTGACAGAAGAGAGATCCGGATAACTAGGGAATAATTAAAGTTTATATTTTAAACTTAGTGCCATTTACGTCATTATTATTTGATAAGTGCTTACCGGTAAGATTCAACATTTTCACTTAACTTACCAGGTATGATTTTAATGTATTTAAACGACATCAAATGCAACATTTTAACTAAACCACTTTTATGATACGAGTAAAATTATCCTTGAACCCACCCTCATGCTAAATCATAGAACCTATATAGTTTAAATTGTCCTTTTTAGATTTCTATCCCTCTTCATTATTGAATAACCAAAGGGTTTTTGTTATTTTCATTTTCCAATATCTGAAATGGATTTTTTTTAAATGTCGTCGGTTATTATTCTTACCTAAATCCTTTCATCACTGAAGGATTTCCAATGTTTGGTCTTTTAATCGACAGATTAATGTAAAATTTTAAGTTATCGACATATATATCATTGGTGAGCAGTTGAAAATCATCCTTTTTGTTGTTGATCATAGTCACAGCATGTCTTGCTACAACAAAATTAGGTTTATTGGACCCCAAAACTGTACAAGTGTCCCAATAGTCTGTTTTATAGGATAAGTTTTTAGGACCAAATGTTAAAGTATCTAATCTAAAGGTGTTGCAATATGTTTATAGAATATTTTTGGACATCTTAAGTCTTTTTAGAACAGTTTTAAAATAAAACATCGTATTAGTTATTCTATAGAATGTTAATTGAAAAAATGTCTTATAAAAATAAGTATTGTTCTATAAAAAGATGTGTTTATAGGACATCTCTTAAAAATGTCCTATAAAATAGCTAATACAACGTCTTCTTTTAAAAGTGTCTTAAGAAATTTGTTAAGACGATTAAAGCATCTTATAAACTTATTGCAACACCTTTAGATATATCATTTTATGTTTTCTTACGTTATTAGAGTTTGCTTAAAGGGTTTTTTGGCTATTTTTTTTTCTATATGTTCTAGATTGTTCCTGTTGTTCTTGGCAGTCCTCGTGCTATTTGTTGTATTGTTTTGTCTTCTAGATTGTATTCAAAAATGTGTTTTTCTCTATCACTTACCTCTCTCGAAAACATGTATCTATCATATGGTATCAAAGCACGCGAACTGCCAGGAAATACAATCTGGAAGACAAAACAATACAACAAATAGTACGGAAACTGCCAAGAACAACAAGATCGATCTAAAACAAATAGAAAGAAAGCAAATTACCAAAAAGCCCTTTAGGCAAACTCTAATATATGTTAAGAATGTTTGTATTTTTGGTGGCAACTAACGAGTGATAGTTGAAACTGAGGGTGGTAGTGGTATGCCAATTGACTACGTACCAAGGGTGACGATTGTCGATGGTTAAAATGTTGAAGGTGTTGGTCGACACCGGTGAAGAACATCAAGAAGAAATAAAAAATATATTTATAATATTAAAGAAAATTAATTTCATTGCCACATCATCAATATTTCAAACAAATTCATATTTAATTTCATTTATTGCGGCATCATCAATAAGTCAAACAAAATCGATAATTATTTTTAATTTACCACTAAGTAAGATTTTATAGGTCGGATTCTGATGAGAATGCAAGTTAAAGTAAAATTAAAGGCGTAAGAAACGATCTCCACACTTAGATGCGTATTAGGATGAGATGATGCGCCTATTAATAATTTTTTATATCAAGCCTGATTCATGAGTGAGTTTGAAATTAAAGGTGGTCAATGATCTCTTCTTATGCTAGCTTCACACTTTAACTCTTCTTCTTACAGGGTTTTTTCACCGTATGCCATCATGGTTTTTATAATGCTTACAAGTAATTAAGCGGGTTTTTTCACCGTATCCGTCTTTGTTTCTATTTTTTTGGTCAAAAGGACCCGTTTCAAAAAAGCAAACGAATGTTAACCCATGAATTTTCATGAAGAATATTAAAAAAAATTAGTACAATAAAATGGGGTTTATAAGACACTAAAAATGTTTAAGGGTTTTAATAGACCGCTTTATAGGTCTTAAGGTTATATGACCAATTGATAAAGTGTCTTATCTAAAATTGTTGTTATACAATGTTTTTAAGCGTTTTAACAAGTTTTTTAGAACATTTTTAAATAAAACATCATATTAATTGTTTTATACTATACGACACTTTTGAGAAAATGTCCTATATATAACAAAAAAAAATTATTGAATACTTGTTTTTATAAAATACTATTTGAAAACGTGTTCTATAAAATAGCTAATTAATATGACACTTTATTTTAAAAGTGTTCTATAAAGCTTGTTAAAACACTTAAAAACGTCTTATAAACTTATTACAACACTCTTAGATAGAAGCATTTATCGTTGAACCCTATAAAACAATATATATTATGACACCTGTACATCTTTGGCATCCGATAATCTCAATTTTATTGCAATGAATGACTCGATTTTATAAAAATAGAAAACCAAGAAAAAGCATCATGCTTTAATTATTCATCAAAATAATTACAGGTCCAGGTATATTTGCTAATTGTTCATACCTTTTATTACAAAAAAATATGATCAACTAATTAACTAATTAATAGATACATAAAATAATCAAAAGACTACAAAATATATTCGATCATTTATAGGTGTAGTCTATGAACATTCCAACACGTAGTATAAACATCCATCTATGCTAGAATATATACTCCATCATGAGTGTGTGTGTACTCTCTTAATTCTGTTTTGCATGAGAATTTCGCTCCACTATATGCTAGCTAGGTGGTGCATCTGATGGTGGAGGGGATGACGCTACTGTTTATTTTTTTACCACCTGGACAAGCCAGAGGGACGACTTGACCGATGACTTCGGGTTTGAAGTTAGAACACTCAGAGGTGGCAACTCCTCCGCTCTATGCCCGATATGTGGATCCGTTACTGAATCAATGCAACATCTATGTTTGAGTGCTCTAGCTATCACTTCGGAGGTTTGGAATTTTATAGAGAGATTATGGTCCTTTACCGTTCCGTAGAACAGATTGTTGGAGTCGACGATTAACTACATCAAAGTTGCTTTTAACAATAATTAATCTGGTAAGGAAAGCGATGAAAGCAGTGTTTTTATTAGCTGTGTTAAAAACCCGATTGTCTGGAGATGTTATCCTACTCCTAGTGACTATATCACAATCTTCTAATGTGGTTGTTCTTATGATTAACGGTTTGCTAGCATCTCCTTCCTATGGATTAGGGTCTAAAACTAAAACACCACAAAAGGCTTAAGAAATATTAAATAATCCATTAGGCCCATTTAATTATGGAAGTCCAGTAAGATGCAAATTAATAAACAAAAAACTTAATGTGATTTAGATTCATTTTTACAAAATGAGATGTTTATTCAATATTTGATTATATTTATCTGCAGTTAGTTACACGAATTCAAGTATGGAGCTTTAATAAGTTGTACTTATACACAATTTACTTGTAATCTTAAATTTTAAGTAATATGCATCAATAACCAGTACTTCGTGCATAAAAAATCGTTTTTAAGAGTTTTTATCACATGCTTTATAATATAGTATAGATATTATCTATCCCGCTAAATAATCAGTTAATTAATACAAACATTAAATATTTAGAAAACTACATAGAATCTAAAACATTTCAACACGTACTTTGAACACCATCTATGCTAGAACATATATTTTCATGTGAGGGTAGCCTCTGAATTTTTGTTTTCCATGATAATTTTGCCCCACTTACTTAAGGTGGTGCATCTAATGGTGGAGGAGATGACACGACTGTTTATTTCGGGCCACCTGGACAAGCCGGAGGGACGACTTGACCGACGACTTTGGGTTTGACGCTAGAACACTCAGAGGTGGCAGGTCCTCCAGGTCCTTTGAATGTGAGGTTGATATCAGCCACCTCCACGTTGTCGCATGGTAACCCAGGGCTGCAAGCAAGCCTTATTGCTATCTTAGTTGATGAGCTTCCTCTGATCTTCCTAAAGCTCACATTCGATATCTTCACTTTCGACGGTCCTTTCTACTACCCATTAACGGAAAATTAATTAAATTCACCTCTTTAATTACGTGAATCATATGTAATATTAATAATATCTATGGTATGTTCTATATATATATATATATATATATATATATATACATACCTGGCATGGACTATAAGGGCAATATAGTTGATCGATCAATATGGGAGTTCCCACATTGGTCATGATGATATCATCAAAATGCATGTCGCTGGCAGTTCCCGGTGTACCCCCAGGCCAGGTCTTGATCCTCACTCCGTTCAAGGTGCCAGTGAATGTGCAGTTTTTAATCCAGATTCCTGCTACAGGTGCTTCATTTGGGTATCTGCCCAGGCTCCCGATACTGATGCCATGACCTGGTCCGCACGTCACTCGCTCCACATGAACGTTCTTGCTTCCATCTCCAAAAGAAATGCAATCATCGCCAGTCTTTATATTTGTGTCTGTGATGTTGACTCCACTTACCCTTCCGACGTGAATTCCATCCGTGTTGACACTGTTTCCCGGTGCGTCAATGGTAACGTGGTCAAGGCGGGTGTTCTCACAATCCACTATAAACATGTGGAAGAACTTGGCATTGGCAGATGTTACGTCTTTCACCAATGCATTCTTCACGAAACTCAATTTGATAGTCTGAGAAATTAAGGTTGGCATGATGACATGATCGGAATATAGACAAGTATAATTCAAAGAAACACTTACGGATGGTAACGAGCAAGTTCCACTAGTTGAGCATTTGTTATTCTTCCAAGTTTCCTGGCCTTGGCCATCATATGTACCACCTGTCATAGTCAAGCTATCAACTTTCGTGAACCAGATCCAAGCATCGGTTTTAAACTTTGCAAGCTCAGGTGGGGCCTTGATGGTGGCTCCAGTGGCCTTGAACTCAATTGGACCCTTGCATGGACCCATTAAATCAATTGGAGGAAATGCCATATAAATCCCTGGAGGAAACAACACCGAGCTTGGCGGAGGTCCTGCACATGCTGCTTTCCAAGCATCCACTATCGCCTAATTTCAACTCCGTAGCAATTATATATAGAAATGAATAATAAGCATCAGTGTTCCTTCGTACATATATATGCAGTTAGCAGCATGAAACAAACATAACATTTAAAACGATCATGTAAACGATTATTATTACCGGGCCATCATTGGTTTTACCATCGCCCTTGGCACCTTTAGTTTTTACATCAACGACTGCAGCATGGTTCCTCGCCATTAATGCCATAAGCAACAAGCAACATACAGCTCGTTGAGACCATCTTTCTTTACCCATTTCAGTTAAGCTCTTATTGCTTGCGTGTGTGTGCTTTATTTCAGGGTTTTGCGAAGGTGAAGTTGGAGATAGTAAAGGGATGCCATTTATAGTAGAGGTTGCAAGTTCCTTTAGGAAACGATTGTTTTGTTTCACTATTAGTTACCAAATATTTTTAGGCAAGCGTACGTTTCAGATTATAGTTTCGTGATTTCTCAATTGCAAGTGCATCAAAGCTTAATTCTTGAATTTTGTTAACTTGTAACTATTAGTATTTTCACGGATGGACCTAGAAAGTTTTTTAAACGGCGATACCGTTTGACTATTAAAAAAACATAGATAAAAAATTTCAAACTGTGGCATCATTTGACTGTAAGAAACAAATGTACATAATTTTTTTTCAAACGTTAACACCATTTGACTAAGAAAATGATACTAATATGATTCGGATTTGGGTCTGGGGTGGAATAAAAGTCTTGCAAACCAACTCTACCAAATAAAAATTGTTCTCATTGTAGTTTCAAAATACATTCGGTGGCACACAACAAATTAATACGGTTGCACCTTTTACGAACCTAAATTTTTTTACTCTTCGACAAAGGAATAATACGATGGCACGTGCCATCGTGTACTCTACTGTAGGTCCTTCAGTGTGTATTTTCATCCATAATGATTGTATTTTCATCTAAGCATGATTTATTTCAAGACGAAAACATAACGCCACCATAGAAATTTCACTACAACAAAATTGATTGTATAGGATGCCTACAATGTATAAACGTACTTAAAAAAATACTTCATAGAATTTAAGTTTATGGAAACAAATCAAAAAGAACATCTTATTTAAAAGTGTTGCAACAGATTTATGAGATGATTGTTTTTTTAGTTGTTTTAACAAGGTTTTTAAGAAACTTTTCAAATAAAATGTTGTATTAACTATTTTATCTTAATATTTTAAAAAAATGTCTTATAAAAACACAAATAGTCTTATAAAAGGAAAAGTTTATAGAACATTTCTGTAAAATAGTCAATATATAAGACACTTTATTTAGAAAGCGTTCTAAAAAATTTGTTAAAACACCTAAAACGTGCTATAAATGTATTGTGACATTTTTGGATATGACGTCTTATAGTTGATCATATAAACATGAATTATATAAAGTATTCTATTAAGACGTTTAGATAATCTAGGTATCCTATAAAGCTAATTTTGTAGTTATGTTTATGTAAATTTGGATATATAAGAACCAATCGGTTTAGGGCTCTTTGGAACCACAAGGTAATCCTCTAAACTTATCAAGAGGTAAGTTTTACCTAAAAATGCCTTTTCATTTGCCAAACATTGAGATATCAAAACACGTATGTAATTATGTATATATGTGTCCATCTGTAGAAGACATAGACATGTGATTATTCTATAGTGTTGAAGAGTCAAAAGTGAGTGTAAGAAGTGATCTTCACCCTTGGATGTACATTAGAATGAGATACATCGAGATGCACAGGAACAATCCATATATCAAGTGCGATTTATGAGTGGGTTTGAGATAAAAGGTGATCAATGGTCCAAATTTCTTCTTATGCTTCTCACCTTAACTTTTATTCTCATACAAACCTTCACCTTATTCTATATAAAAATTGCATTAAGAACATGTTAGAACTCTCTTATTAAAGACACTACTTCTCTCTTTCATTTTATATAACCGTTATTTTTCTATATGCCTAGCTATAGTATAACTCGCTAAGTTTTGTATGCTTTCTTTGCAGCTCTAACTAGAGATGCACAAAAGAATCAAAAACCAAAGATTAGAAATTTGTCATATTCAATTCTTAATTTTTCATAATAATAGTAAAAATCATAACCAACCGCTTGTTTACTCATATGAGGCGTATACTAACTTGGAAGCTTGTCTTTTTTCAGTAGCTAGTGTTCTCCTATTCAAATAGATTTGGTGGTTTTAAATGGATCAAATCGATTTACGGTCCTTGCAGGCTTATCAGATTGCGATTATGTACCCAATAAGGTGTCCGATTCTTTCTGAATTTCTATTTTAAAAGCGGTTCAACAAATGAATAATAATGGTATTCATTGTTTTTTTCTTTTTGTAAGAAAAAAGTAGGTGATGGGAAGTCTACTCTCTTTTGGATGATATTTGGTTGGAATACTCCTCTCTTAAAATGCAATTTCTGAGGGTATATGCACTTGATAGTGACAAATTGGCATTGGTTCAAGATCGGTTGGTCCTGGGGTATTGGGGATTCGTTTTGCGTAGACTGCCAAGAGAAGAGTGGAGGATTCACATATGTCAACTTTACGGGAGATTCTAGCTACGGTCATGATCTCTGATCGAAGAGATAGATGGGTTTGGTCCCTCGATATGGTTTGGGTGAGTTCTCGGTGGCTTCGACTTGTAATTCCATAGAATACAAAATTTTAGTGATAGATCATTATTCTACTAGATAGAATCAGCTTGTTCCTGTCAAGATTAATGTATTTGCTTGGCTGTTCGGCTTGAACAAAATTCCAACTCGAGACAATCGTGATAAAAGAGGAATTAATGTGCATTCCCTCTTATGTTCGATTTGCGATTTGGAGATTGAATCGGTGAGTTATTTGTTCTTTTCTTGTCGAATGGCCCGGGATATTTGGAAGCAAATTGGTCGATGGTGGAGTTTGGATATTCCAGAGTTTATTTCCAATTCAGATTGGATTCGGTGGTTATTATCTTTATAGTTGAAGAGTGGAGTCGGCTTGTTTAGAGGCGGTTGTTCTAACAACTTTATAGGCTATTTGGTCTTTTTGGGATAAGACTCTTTTTAGGCCCCCTAAGCCTAAGAAAGTGATAAGTGCAAATTTATACATTTTTACGTCAAAGTACCTTACAATTAATGTTAAATATATGCTTAAAAGGTGCCAATTTAATTTAAGTTAATCT